AGTTTCAGGGCCTTCCCTGGCCGTCTAGTGGTGAGGACTTTGCTTTCCAATGCAGAGGGTGTGGGCTCCATCCCTGCATGGGGAATTAAGATTCCCCCATGCCTCAGGGCCAGAAAACAGAAGCAACATTGTAACAAATTCAATAAAGACTTTGAAAATGGTCCACATCAAAAGAAATAAAAATTAAAAAATAAATGCAATTTCAGAGACAGAGATTTCTCCATATTTCTGGGTCTTTTATTAATTATATGCCCTGTTGGGTCTCTGTTTTTAATTCATGTGATAGTGCTTCTGTCGGGACTCATTTCTGTCTTATTTCTCAAGTTTGCTATTTGCTCTACTCTCCTGTTTCTTTCTCCATTTTTGTTGATTTTCATTTGTTGGATCTTCTTTTTAAATTTATGACTTTCATGAAAAGTTATATTCACTCACTCACCAATGAACACTAAGCACCTACTCTGCCCACAGCCGTCGGGGTGGAGGGCACCCATGTGCTGCGGTGTCTGCAGCCTCCGTCTGCTCCCAGCATCGAGCGTCGAGGTCCCCAATGCCTTCACTGTTCGGTGTCCCTTCTCGTGCCCTGTGACCCTGGCATTGCCCAGAATTTTATGTGGGGCTTGTACGGCTGCCCTCTTGCCCTTTGTTCCTGCCTTTTTGTTGGTGGTGGTTTGTTCATAAAACAGGAAAAGGTTTTGCAAAGATGTTTGGCCCCTCACTTCCTTTATGGCTTGTGGATTTTCCTGGGTGTGTTTTTCCTCTTTTGCAGTTCCTGCTTCAAGAATGTTATCAACGTAGGTGTTTGAGAGGGGCACATTCTGAGGCTTTCTGGAAATATCTTTGTTATATTTTTACATTTGAATGACAATTTGGCTGAATATTTAATTTTATTTTTTTTTACTTGTAATTCTTTAAAATATCACCCCATATCTTCTTATATGGTTTGTTCAGAAATCTGGGATCAGTATGATTCTTGTTCCCATGTATGTGGTCTGTTCCTTCTCTGTGGAACCTTCTTTTTGGACACTTTTCTCTGATCCTCTTAAATGTCACGGCAGCACACCTAAGTGTGGGTTATTTCTTATCTTGCCTCTTTGTGATCCTCAGTCTGAAGCCCTTCATCTTTCTTCTTCCTCAAGCATTCCTTCCTCTCATTTCCTTTCTCCTTCTATCCCAGGACACGAGGCGCTTCTTTCCCAACAGCGCAGCTCCTTCTTCATCCCCGCCTCCTGCATGTCCCGTCACCTCTCAGGACCACTCTAGACTGACACCGCACACACCCACCTGCCTTTCAGGGGTCCATCCCTGTCTTCGGTTCTGCTCATCAGAAGAGTGGTAAGAGCCAGCCCTTCCAGAGACTCAGTCCACACCAAACACTGCTCTGAATGCTTCACGTATCTACATAGACTTAACCTCTCAACAACCTGATCAGATAAGTGCAGCTATTTTCCTCATTTTAGAAAAGAAGCAATGGAGGCATTAGCTAACCTCTCTAGCATCACATGGCTGGACAGTAGTAGAGCAGGCCTAGGTGCCCAGGCATGCTGCCTCTAGGCTCCAGCCTGCTTATCCTAGCACCGGTTACGCGTTTCACCAAGCCCAGGGTTGACTTTCCCCAGTTTTGTGTCTTGAAGCGATTTCAGACACGCGGGCAGTGCCGAGAGCCGCTGAAACTCTGCAGCCGGGTCCCCCGGCACCACCATCAAGCTGGGAGACTAACACGGGCACGATGCTATGGACCAAGCTGAAGACCGTGTTCAAACGTCACCAGTATTTTCACCAATGTCCTTTTTCTGTTCCAGGACCCAGTGTTGCGTTTAGTTATTCCTCCCAGCCTCCTCCAGCCTATAACAAGCTTCAGTGCTTCCTTGCCCTTCATGATCATAATACATCTGAAGAGTATCCATCAGTTATTTTGCAGAATGTTCCTGTTTGGTTTGTGTAGTGTTTCTCATCTTTGGAGTGACTCAAGTTAAGGAAAGGTTTCTGATCACATCCTCATTTACACTTACTCCTACCCTCCACAGGAGGGAATCCTGAGTCATGAAGGCCTCCTGGTGGGTCCTTCCTAAACTCAATGTGGATCCAGGGGAGTTGACCAAGGAGGGTCTTTGTGGAAAGCTAAGGGCACTAACTCGACAACCTACTAGGCACTGCCTTGGCTGTGTCCCAGCATCTAGGCTTCTAACGGCCCAAGAAGGGTGATAACCACCCCAGGCAGAAGTGAGCCTAGGCCCCTCCCATCAGGGCACGTTGTTAATGGATTTGTTCACGGATTTGTTCACAGGGCCTGCTGGCTGTGCTTACCTGTTTTTTAAGCCAGGGGTCAATCAGATTTTAAGCACACGTGGTAAGAAATCTTCTAGTCTGAAATAAGGAGTCGTTCTCAACACCTGGCCAACGTGAGTGCTGCTGGAGAGATTTCTCGGCTGCGGTGGCAGCTCTGACCTAGAGAACCACGGGAAGCCGAGGGTGCAAACACACCAAGGTTCAGGTGTTTGTGCAAAAGCCCAAGTGCAGTCACGACTGGACACAGGCTGAAACAAGACACAAGAGGCAACAAAGAACAAACCCGACTGCACATCAGAGTTACTGCCTTAGCTCTAAGCTTTGTGGTGCTGGCTCTGCACCCCAGCTCCTCAAAGCTGAAAGAATGTTGCCTTGGGAATTCCCCGGTGGTCCAGTGTTTAGGACTCCGTGCCCTCATTGTTCAGTCCCTGGTTGGGGACCTGAGATCCCACAAGTCGTGTGACCTGGCAGCCAAATATTTAAAAATTAAAAAATAAACGAACGTTGCCTATAGCCTGAAATATACATAACAGCCCTTTCTCAAGGCTCTGCCGCCCAGGCTAGACCTTTAAAGGCACAACAATGTTTCATTCAAAGAGAGGAGAAGAGGCTACAGAACAGAGAATAACACTTGTCTCGCTGGAGGTTTACAGAGACATTGGGACCAGAACTATACAGGCAGCTCCAAGAACAAAGAGTTATCACATCCCCTCCAAGGTCTGGAAGAAGGCTGCAACAACCCCTCCCCTTTTAGTATAAAAGAAACCTGAATTCTAACTCAGGGAAGATGATTCTTTGGAACATGAGCCTGACATCTTCTTCATCTGTGCAAACAAAGCTACTATGTGTTGTCCCAACACCTGGTTTCTTGATGTATTGGCCTGTCATGTGGTGAACATACAAGCTTGGACTCAGTAACAGTAAGAGCTGAACTCAGTAAGAGATTTCCAAGGGGTCTTTTGTAGTTTACAGTGACATTTGGAATAGAAAAGAAACTGGCCTCAGGGAGGACCAGGGGTCTCCAGTATCATGGACAAATCATTCTCTTGGGTGACACATTCAGTAGGATGAAAGGCCAAAGCCCAGGAGATACTGATGAGGACAATATCTGTAACTGTAACCTCATCCAAGCTCACAGGACTGGCTAGTGGGTTGAGAGAAAGGTGTTAGGGAAGAATAGTGACTTTGTTCAGAAGCATGCAAACCGAGAAGATGGCAGACTAATATCCTAAGAACCATCTTAATGCAGACTGCTCTCATAACAGGAAAGTGGGAAGCCTGCAAAGATGAGGTCAGGAAGAGGAAGAGGCCACAGTCCATGGTCTTTTTTGTTGGTCAGTTGACTCCAGTTGACATTAATCTCATCTGGTCATGATGCTCCTTCAGATCAAATAAACAGATGTTTATTTTTCTTGCTCACATTTCCTTATCACCATGTGGGTTTCTTTGAAAGGGGGCTGCCATGTACACTGCAAGCTGTGGGCAGAATTCCTTCAGCGACTAACGTGTGTACACAAGGCTGAGCAGAGGCTTACGACTCAGAGGTTAAAGCAGCAGCAGCAGAGATGGATGCCAAGATCCTCGAACAAAGAGGCAGGTGGGTCTTCATTCCCTAAGAACAAAGAATTCTGGCAAATTGTTGTGTGCACCCCTTGAGGAGTAGCTAGGACTCTGTTTATCCTGAACTGTTGTCATTACTTTCCTCCTCTAACTGATTTTCCTCTGTTTCTGCACTCCCTCATTTCCCTAATTAATAACTAACTACCTTTCCTGCTCTTTGGAACACTGGAGGGCCTGGGAGGCCAAAGCCTTTTTCTACAAGCAAGAAGCAAGAGGACGCAGGGGATATTTGCACTCAGAAGGGCCCCACAGGACCCTGCTTCACTTCAGTCCTCCCTTTTCTTTGATACCCCCTTGATCCTGAGGGGAATGGGGTGGTGGGAGACAGGAAAAGGAGTAAATTTTTGGATAGAGAGGTTCATCATAAACTCTGCAGAGAAATTCAGTTTAAGGGGGACTCAGTTTCAATGCCAGAGTAAAGGAAAGAGTAAGAAAGGGTTTTGCACTTTAGAGTCTGAAGCCTTGGTCCAGTGTCATGGGTAGCAGACACCACTTCTCCTTGTCTGTTTGATCTGGAGGTCCCCAGTGTCTGCACAGGACCAGATGTCAAGTGGGACTTTTTTAGCTATGAGATGTGTACCCAAGACTCCATAACTAATTTCGCAGCTGTGTTGGTGGTCAGTAAGGTCCCTTCCCATGACATCAAAAGCGGTCTTCCTCTGGTGAAGTTTCCAGAAGACGCAGTCATGGAGCTCTAGATTGACCAGCAGGATCCTTTGAATTGGAACTAGGAAAGCTCTTCAGCCTGTTGATGACAAGCCTGAGCATAAGGACTGGAGACTTACAGTAGCCGGTCGCACTGGCACAGGGCAAGGGATCAGCAGAAGGTCGGACCCTGAACATCAGTCTGCTGCCTCTGCTGATGACTCTGCTGTGGAGTGAGTTTATGATTCCCAAATGGGGTCCTTTGAATGGTCAGCAAGACCTTAGGCCTGGGGAGTCCAGTAGTTTGGGCAAAGTTAGACATTTTAAGCTTGACAGTGCCTGTAGTTCTCTTGACTTTGCCTGATGACTGAGGGTGAGAGAGACGGTGACGGTGACGCTGCAGACTGGGCCTCTGTACACTGGTGCTGAATTGAATCTCAGAGACAGAGTTTTGGATGAAGTAGAAAAGAACAGTTTATTGCTTTACCAAGCAAAGGGGGACACGGCAGGGCTGTGCCCTCAAAACCCTGTGTCCTGACCCCGAGGCGTTTGGTGAGGAGTTTCGCAGCAGTGGATCAAGTGTGCGTCTGTGCGGAGAGCTAGGGTGTGTGCAGGGCCTGCCTCCTTTAACCTGGCCTCTGGTGGTCCCCTGATGAGCGTCTCTGGTTCTCAGGGTTACCAAACCGATCCTCTCTGGAAAGAAGGAAGCTTGTCGGGCTAACATCTTCATTTGTTGGGGGTTTGAGTTCTGTAAGGAGCCCAAAGACATTGTTACATCTACCCCTTGAGGCAAAACCAGAAAGCTGAGGAAAAGCCCAGGCTGCACTATTGGTTTTTTGGCTGCTCCTCCTTTGTCTCTGCACCCTGCCTCCCTTCCCTGATTCACACCTGTTTGAGCCTACCCTTTGGAAGGGAAGGTCAAGAAAAGGGGGACACAGAAAGCTTTTCATGCCCTGGAGCCTCGAAGGGTCCCACGTGGTTTCACACCGCCTCCTGCTTTCTGACACTCTTCAGTCTTGAGGAGAGCAGACGCTGGAATAGAAAGGAAATAATTGTTTCAGACAGAGGCATTCATCATAAACTTGGCAGAGGAACTTAGTTTCAGGGGTACTGGTTTTTAATACCCACTTCTGTTTTATCTTTCCCCAGATTGTTCAAGGAACAGAGCGGTGACTGCTCTGACTACTTTCTGCTGAAATGAGGTGTAGTCCTGCCTCACTCTTCAGGTGAATTAATACCAAATTAGAAATACTTGAGTTACAAGTCCTGGATCTGAGTATTGTATGATTAAAATCTCAATCTCTTGGTCTGCCATTTTGATGCAACAAACCCAGTTAGAAGTAGGAGGGGTGATAGCTGGAAATTTAATAGACAAATAGATCCAACTTCCTGAGGAACTGGGAAGAATAAGCCTACAAACTAGTGTAGAACTTGGAAGACTTGTTGTAGCAGTTGTCTAATTTTACCTAAGATTTTAACTTATGGTGTAGCATTAACACATACATATCAGGGGCTATTAGCAGCTACACATCAGTTCAGTTCAGTTGCTCAGTCTTGTTCGACTCTTTGCGACCCCATGGACTGCAGTATGCAAGGTTTCCCTATCCATCACAAATTCCCAGGGCTTGCTCAAACTCATGTCCATCGAGTTGGTGATGCCATCCAACCATCTCATCCTCTGCCATCACCTTCATCTCCTGCCTTCAATCTTTTCCAGCATCAGGGTCTTTTCCATGAGTCAGTTCTTCACATCCGGTGGCCAAAGTATTGGAATTTTAGGTTCAGCATTAGTCCTTCCAATGAATATTCAGGATTTCCTTTAGGACTATCTGGTTTGATCTCCTTGCTGTCCAAGGGACTCTCAAGAGTCTTCTCCAACACCACAGTTCAAAAGCATCAGTTCTTCAGTATTCAGCTTTCTTTATGGTCCAACTCTCACATCTATACATGACTCCTGGAAAAACCATAGCATTGACTAGATAGACCTTTGTGGACAAAGTAATGCCTCTGCTTTATAATATGCTGTCTAGGTTGATCATAACTTTTCTTCCAAGGAGCAAGCGTCTTTTAATTTCATGTCTACAGTCACTATCTGCAGTGATTTTGGAGCCCAAGAAAATAGTCTCTCACTGTTTCCAATGTTTCCACATCTATTTGCCATTAAGTGAGGGGACTAGATGCCATGACCTTCGTTTTCTGAATGTTGAGTTTTAAGCCAACTTTTTCACTCTCCTCTTTAACTTTATTCAAGAGGCTCTTTATTTCTTCTTCACTTTCTGCCATAAGGATGGTATCATCTGCATATCTGAGGTTATTGATATTTCTCCTGGCAATCTTGTTTCCAGCTTGTGCTTCATCCAGCCTGGCATTTTGCATGATGTACTCTGCATATAAGTTAAATAAGCAGGGTGACAATATACAGCCTTGACGTACTTCTTTCCCAATTTGGAACCAGTTCGTTGCTCCACGTCAGTTCTAACTGTTGCTTCTTGACCTGCATATAGATTTCTCAGTAGGTGGGTAAGGTGGTCTGGTATTCCCATCTCTTGAAGAATTTTCCACAGTTTATTGTGATCCACACAGTCAAAGGCTTTGGCGTAGTCAATAGAGCAGAAGTAGATTTTTTTTCTGGAACTCTCTTGCTTTTTCGATGATCCAGTGGATGTTGGCAATTTGGTCTCTGGTTCCTCTGCCCTTTCTAAATCCAGCTGGAACATCTGAAGTTCTCGGTTCATGTAGTGTTGAAGTCTGGCTTGGAGAATTTTGAGCATTACTTTGCTAGCGTGTGATATAAGTGCAATTGTGCAGTAGTTTGCACATTCTTTGGGATTGCCTTTCTTTGGGATTGGAGTGAAAACTGACCTTTTTCCAGTCCTGTGGCTACTGCTGAGTTTTCCAAATTTGCTGGCATATTGAGTGCAGCACTTTCACGGCATCATCTTTGAGGATTTGAAATAGCTCAACTGGAATTCCATCACCTCCACTAGCTTGGTTCATAGTGATGCTTCCTGAGGCCCACTTGACTTTGCATTCCAGGATGTCTGGCTCTAGGTGAGTGATCACACCATCATGATTATCTGGGTCGTGAAGATCTTTTATGTATAGTTCTGTGTATTCTTGCTACCTCTTCTTATCTTCTGCTTCTGTTAGGTCCATACTGTTTCTGTCCTTTATTGTGCCTGTCTTTGCATGAAATGTTCCCTTGGTATCTCTAATTTTCTTGAAGAGATCTCTAATCTTTCCCATTTTATTGTTTTCCTCTATTTCTTTGCATTGATCACCAAGGAAGGCTTTTTAATCTCTCCTGGCTATTCTTTGGAACTCTGCATTCAGATGGCTATATCTTTCCTTTTATCCCTTGCCTTTCATTTCTCTTCTTTTCTCAGCTATTTGTAAGGCCTCCTCAGACAACCGTTTTGCCTTTTTGCAATTCTTTTTCTTGGGAATGGTCTTAATCACTGCCTCCTGTACAATGTTATGAACCTCCTCCATCCATAGTTCTTCTGGCACTCTATCAGATCTAACCCCTTGAATCTATTTGTCACTTCCACTGTATAATCATAAGGGATTTGATTTAGGTCATACCTGAATGGTCTAGTGGTTTTCCTTACTTTCTTCAATTTAAGTCTGAATTTTGCAATAAGGAATTCATGATCTGAGCCACAGTCAGTTATCCGGTTTAGTGTGTGTTTTTGAGTACTTCCTTGTGTTCTGACACCACAAGAGCCCCCAGGCCCATCTTGGGGGCTCCTTGTCCCAGCCCTGGAATGGGCCATTTCTCCAGGGAGCCTGGTTCCTTTACTAGAGAACAAATGGTCTTGGAACCAAGATCTGGGCACCACATGCTCCTTGCCTCTGGGACTCTTAGCAGAGACGGGAAATACACATGTGTGTAGTAACAGATCCCACTTCCTCTGTTCTGTATCTTTCTGGGTGTAGATTACAGACCACAAGTGTGCAGACCCACGGACCCCTTCCCAACGCTGCCTTCTCTTACCTTTTCCTAATCTCTTTCTTCAACAGCGAGGTCGCTAAGTTCTTCAGTCAATGCAGTAGCTCAGTCATGTCTGACTCTCTGTGACCCCATGGGCAGCAGCACACCAGGCTTCCCCGTCCATCACCAACTCCTGGAGCTTGCTCAGACTCAGGTCCATTGAGTCGGTGATGCCATTCAACCATCTCATCTTCTGTCGTCCCCTTCTCCTCCTGCCTGCAATCTTTCCCATCATCAGGGTCTTTTCCAGTGAGTCAGTTCTTCCCATCAGGTGGCCAAAGTATTGGAGCTTCAGCTTCAGCATCAGTCCTTCCAATGAATATTCAGGACTGATTTCCTTTAGGATTGACTGGTTTGATCTCTTTGCTGTCCAAGAGACTCTCAAGAGTCTTCTTCAACACCACAGTTCAGAAGCATCAATTCTTCAGCGCTCAACTTTCTTTATGGCCCAACTTTCACATCCATACATGACTACTGGAGAAACCATGGCTTTGACTAGATGGACCTTTGTCAACAAAGTAATGTCTCTTTTTAGTATGCTGTCTAAGTTGGTCATAGGTTTCCTTCCAAGGAGCAAGTCTTTTAATTTCATGGCTGCAGTCACCATCTGCAGTGATTTTGGAGCCCAAGAAAATAAAGTCTGTCACCGTTTCCATTTTTTCCCCACCTATTTGCCATGAAATGATAGAATTAATTACCACAGTCTTAGTTTTTTGAATGTTGAGTTTTAAGCCAGCTTTTTCACTCTCCTCCTTCACTTTTATCAAGATGCTCTTTAGTTCTTCTTCCCTTTCTGCCATAAAGGTGGTGTCATCTGCATATCTGAGGTTATTGATATTTCTCCCAGCAATCTTGATTCTAGCTTGTGCTTCATCCAGCCTGGCATTTCACATGATGTACTCTGCATTTAAGTTAAATAATGCAGGGTGACAGTATGCAGCCTTGATGTACTCCTTTCCTGATTTGGAAACAGTTCATTGTTCCATGTCTGGTTCTAACTGTTGCTTCTTGACCTGCATACAGATTTCTCAGGAGGCAGGTGAGGTGGTATTGAAGAATTTTCCACAGTTTGTTGTGAGCCACACAGTCAAAAGTTTTAGTGTAGTCAGTGAAGCAGAGTTAGATATTCTTCTGGAATTCTCTTACTTTTTCTATGATCCAACAGATGTTGGCAATTTGATCTCTGGTTCCTCTGCCTTTTCTAAATTCAGCTTGAACATCTGGAAGTTCTCAGTTCACGTACTATTGAAGCCTAGCTTGGAGAATTTTGAACATTACTTTGCTGCATGTGAGATGAATGCAATTGTGCAGTAGTTTGAACTTTTTTTGGCATTGCCTTTCTTTGGGATGGGAATGAAAACTGACCTTTCCCAGCTCTTACCCACACAGATTTACATATTTGTCAGTTCTCACATCCACAAGCCCAGACCACAGCTAGAGGGAAGTCCAGTCACCACACTTTCACACATGGCCCTTTCTGTCAGGAGCCTGTGGCTTCCTGCCAAGTTCCTCTTTCCACGAGACTTGGCAAGTTTTCCCTACTCTGCCCTGTGTCTCTTTTCCACAAATGAGCAGACACATGTCATCTTCCTTCTTAGAAGAAAGGAACTACTATAGGTGACTTTCTGTGCTTCTTCTCTTAACATAATGCCTGGAAGTCACACCGTCCACTTAGAGTGACCTTCCTCCTTTTTCTTCAAGGCCTACACGCCACTCTCATAAGTGTGCACATTTAGGTTTTCCTAACATTTTGTGGTTACAAACATTTCTGCAATGAATCCTCTTTGCGTATCTGTTTCCCACTGTTTAAAGTGCATCTTCAGGGTATGTTTCTGTGCTCAGTTGTGTCCAGTTCTTTGAGACCCCGTGGACTGTAGCCCTCCAGTTTCCTCTGTTCATGGAATTTCCCAGGCAAGAATACAGGAGTGGGTTTCCATTCCCTTCTCCAGGGGATCTTCCAAACCCAGGGATCAAACCCATGTCTCTTGCATCTCCTGCATTAGCAAGCTGATTCTCTACCACTGCACCACCTGTTAAGCCACCTTCAGGGTAGGTTCCTAAAAACAGAGTTGCTGGTCAAAGGACAGTGCATACACATCTTTGTCTGACCCAATTCCACTTCAGGGTTCACCATGTAGGGTCCCCGGTGCTGTAAGAGGATGCTGGGTTCTCTGCAGCTTCAACAGAGCGAGTCACAAAGTGAAAGTTGCTCAGTCATGTCTGACTTTTTGAGACCCCATGGACTATACAGTCCATGGAATTCTCCAGGCCAGGATACTGGAGGGGATAACCATTCCCTTCTCCAGGGGATTTTCCCAACCCAGGGATCAAACCCAGGTCTCCCACATTGCAGGCAGATCTTTACCAGCTGAGCCACAAGGGAAGCCCAAGAATACTGAGGTGGACAGCCTTTCCTTCCTCCAGCAGATCTTCCTGATCCAGGAATTGAACCAAGGTCTCCTGCATTGCAGGTGGATTCTCTACCAACTAAGCTATCATAGTTTTTAATGTTTTGCCACTTTGAGAGGTAAGAAGGGAGACCTTGGTCTTATATTAATTGCATTTCTCTATTAATGAGTGATTTCAATGTTTTTTCATATGTTTAGGATTTTTTAATATAAACTGTCCATGTATTTTCTCCATCTACCTACTCATCTTTCAGACTTCTTGGCATATCAGAGTTACAGGCACTTTTTCCGAGTATATGTTCTGAACATTTGTTCCCAATTTGTCAAGTGCTTGTACTTTGTATATTGAGTGTTTGTCATGCAACTTTGAAAACTGTTTATGTAGTCAAATTTATTCACCTTTTGTTTTGTCTGGATTCTAAATCTTACTTATGTAAAAAACAAAATTCAACTGAGTAAATCTGAAGCTCTAACCACTTTACAAAGTCATGTATGGATGTGAGAATTGGATTATAAAGAAAGCTGAGGACTGAAGAATTGATGCTTTTGAACTGTGGTGTTGGAGAAGACTCTTGAGAGTCCCTTGGACTGCAAGGAGAACCAACCAGTCCATCCTAAAGGAGATCAGTCCTGGGTGTTCATTGGAAGGACTGATGACTGAAGCTGAAACTCCAATACTTTGGCCACCTGATGCAAAGAGCTGACTCATTTGAGAAGACTCTGATGCTGCGATAGATTGAAGGCAGGAGGAGAAGGGGACAACAGAGGATGAGATGGTTGGATGGCTTCACTGACTCGATGGACATGAGTTTGAGTAAACTCTGGGAGTTGGTGATGGACAGGGAGGCCTGGTGTGCTGCAGTCCATGGGGTCGCAAAGAGTCGGACATGACTGAGGGACTGAACTGAACTGAACTGAACCACTTTATTTGGTAATTAATGAATTGGCGACATCTCATCCAGCAAGCACCAGGGTGCTCAGAGGAGCAGCACAAAGTGGAAGTTATAGGAAGGAAGATGGGGCAAGGAGATCACTAGCTGAAGAAAGCAAAGGCTACTGGGGCTGGATGGCTCCTCTTGAGGGTGGGGGGAGGGGAGAGGAACAGTCAGATGTCCCTCGTCTTCCAGGGATGGAGAGCACCCACAGGGCATATCACCTCCTTGGTGCTGACCAGGAAATCCTAGGAAATTCTAGGGAAGGCTGAAATGCAGTCGAGTAGGAGGCGAGGTTTGGCACCATGGACTCTGGCACAAGTGACACCACTTTGGGCCTGTGCTTTTTTCTTCACCAGCTATCCCGGAGCTCAAGAGGGATTCACCGTGTTCCTTTGGTGTTTTGTGTGTTTCAGATTCCAGTTCATCAGCACCCCATGCAAGAGCACCCCTCTGTGCCTGGGCTTAGTCCTATTCCATTCCCAAGGTCTGTCTGCTGCCCCAGCACCAGCAGATCTGATGTGGGGAATTATGTTGACCACATTTTTCACTGTTCTGGGTCCATCTGGTGGGATGACTCAGTCAAATGCTATGTCAGCCAAAGGATTGTTTCTTCTTTTTGAAGTCTCCACTTCCTGCCCTGGGGGAGCTGCTCCCATTTCCTGGGGATCCTGGGGTGGGGGCGGGGGAGGGCATGAGAATGACTGTCCTCCAGCCCCCCTGCCAGGCGGGGCCTCCTCCTCAGCAAAGCCTGAGGGCGAGGCATGGGCGAGCCTCCTGGTGTCCAGCCAGGAGCCGAGCGGGAGGAGGAGGAAGGAAGGAAGAGCCTGTGCTGCCGCCACCCAAACTGACCACTGACCAGAGGGTCCCCGCCTTCCTCTCCTTTCTCCCTCGAATACCCCCAGTCTCTGCTCCTGGAGAGTCCTGGGTTTTTCCTGGAAAATCTCTGGGAAGAGGAGAGAGTTTTGTTCCAGACTGTGCCATCGTGGAGCTGGTGACGTGAAAATCATACTCATCCTAGTAACCCTTGGGCCTTTTCAAAGGAGAGAAACTGCTCATCAATACGATGAGCCAGCCCCAGGCAGGGAGGGGAAGGCGGGATGGAGTGCTCAGGGGACACCCTGGTCTTTCCCCCTGTGAACTCCAGGCCTCAAAGGGCAGAGCCATGGAAAATCCCCAACAAGTGCTTTCTTCTTCAAACTGAAGGGGAGCAGGTTTTGCCACCACAAAATACTGATGCTGCAAACTTGTCCTCTGTACACTGGTGCTGACTTGAATCTCAGACAGAGTTTTGGATGAAGTAGAAAAGAACAGTTTACTGCTTTACCAGGCAAAGGGGGGCATGGCAGGGCTGTGCCCTCAAAACCCTGTGTCCTGACCCCGAGGCGTTTGGTGAGGAGTTTCGCAGCAGTGGATCAAGGGAGCGGCAGTGCAGAGGGCCAGGGTGTGTGCAGGGCCTGCCTCCTTTAACCTGGCCTCGGGGGGAGGCCCCCTGATGAGCGTCTCTGGTTCTCAGGGTTACCAAACTGCGATCCTCTCTGGAAAGAAGGATGCTTGTCAAGCTAACATCTTCATTTGTTGGGGGTTTGAGTTCTGTAAGAAGCTCAAAGACACGGCTGTGTATCCGTGAAGCAGAACCGGAGCCCTGGCCCTAGGCTGCACAGCTGCTCTTAGCTGCTCCTTCCTCGTCTCTGCGTCCCCTCCCTTCCCTGATTAGCAACTTTCCAGCCCTGCCCTTTGGAATTCGGGGAAGGCCAAGTAACGGG